ACTGCAGAAACCCTCGTGGTTTCCTGCATGAGCCTGCAGAGATGTGCTGTTTGTGCCTGCATCCCTCCTTTAATTGTGTTTTTATTTGGATTGCAGCAGCAGAGAGCCCTTAATGCAGAGCTGGGAGCTCAGGCTGTGCTGGAACAGGGCTGATCTAATTACCAATTACCTGCCTGGGAGAAGCACACACTGGCCCCATGCAGAAGCTGCTTGCCAGCTCCTTTTTGGAGGGCTGGGAACCCTCCCCAAAGGGCACAACTCGAGTGAGACTGAAATGGCTCACAAAGATAATTTTGAAACGTGAAATTTTCAAATGAAGCAAAAATTAGAGAGGAACTACAGTAAAACCTTTGTTACTTTTTCTCAGTTTTAGAGATTTTAAGGAGCCTGTTGCCCCTTTGAACTATGACGGTGTTATACCAAAGACAAGGTTGTTTTCCTTTAATGTCAAGAGTTTCTTGTTGCAAAGGGCATTTTAAATGAATAAAGATGACTTAGTAAATGCTTCTTCTTCCCATATAAAATTATATTGGTAAAATTATCTTTCACGTATTTGTTAGATTATCTTTTTCTTACACTCCACATTTGGTTATTTGATCGAAGTCTTGAGAGCAGAGATCCCTTAAAAACTTCCTCCTTCCTCTACAGCACTGCTGGATTTGTCTCCAAACACATTCCAATTCAGTCCCAGTGCCAAGGAATCCCTTCCCTCCCCTCCTCCAGCTCCACTTTTGTCCCAAACTGGGTTTCCCTGCCCATTTCCCACCTGGCTGGGGATTTTCTGCTGGTAGCAGAGAGCTGTGCCACGCCAGGAGGCTGCAGGGATGTTGTCCTCCTCCAGAGCCATCCCAAAGGACTGGAGAGTGCTCTGGCAGAGCAGTTGCCCTCATTCATGAATTATTAAAATCAAGTGATGCCTTCTAAATTTGGGGAACTCGCTCACTGAAGGCTTGCACTGAATGAAATGAAAGCTGCAGCTACTAAATCAACATGCTACAACTAAATACATGAGAATTCTAGGCCAATTGGAGTTAGGAATTGCTAATTAGTTATGCACAATTGAGCCATCCCTAATGAATAGAAAAGCTGCAGTGACATTGTCATTGTAGGGTGTTCATGCATATTTTGTAGTTGCAAAAAACAACAGCACACAGTTTTAATTGAGACTGTGTAGTAGTACATTTCTCCCTCTCTCAAGATTTTTCATAGAGGTGCACAGAGAGAAATGAAAGAGAAAACAATTTCTATTTCTACTCCTTGTTTTTCCTATGTAAAATATCTTTAGAGAATTGTTTACCTGGAGTGAGTGCTTAATTAAATTCTAGTGAAGATTGTTTAAGCCTGATGGCCAATCCAATCCAATCCAATCCAATCCAATCCAATCCAATCCAATCCAATCCAATCCAATCCAATCCACCTGTCTCTGGACTAGAGAGAGGGTCACAAGTTATGTGGGAGTTAGAGAAAGTAGTATGTAGTTTTAGTATCCTCTTTTTATATAGTATATTCATGTATTTTAACATAGTTATAATAAAGAAATCATTCAGCCTTCTGAATTGAGTCAGACATCGTCATTTCTTCCCACTGGGTTCACCTACATTTACAATAAGACTGGTTTCCACCAGCCAGTGAACAAAATACAACCCCAAACAAAAATCAAACCCTAAGAAACTGAGGCTGCTCGCTTAATGAAATTTTTGTGTCATCTAGCAGTGCTTTTCTGCACTGTGTTCATATTAAAAATATTTCTGATGAGCAGTGTTGGCCCATAAATGACTGGGCAATTTTAAACCAGAAAGTTTGTTCTTCATTTAGTATTTGTCCCAGCCATTTGGGGTTTATCTGTGGAGCCTGTCACAAGCTGAGTAACCACTCAGGCAGTAAACATGAAGTGAAGTGCGTAATTGTCTGTGGAAAAAAAAAAAGGTACTGATACTTACAACCAGATGTGTTAAAAAAAACTCAAGAACAAAATTTCCCAGCTTTGTTCTATTTATAATTTCATTGCTGCTCCCAACAAGCCTTGCATTCAAGGTTTAAAGGATGGGACACACTCAGTGATTATTAGTTTTCAATATTGAAGCAGCTTTCTGAATCTTATGCATAAGTTTTTAATAAAGATAATAATCTATACACAACACCTTGGCTCCTTGCCACTGATGTATGGCCTCTCATCAGCTGCTTGTTCAGTGCTGAATATTCAGGACTTTTTTGTGTACAGACTAAAATGGTTATTTCCAGAAGAAATTAAAAATAAACCTATTTTAACCATTTAAAAATAAACCTGTATAGCTGGAAATTCTGGACATTTCGTGCAGAATTAAAAGAGAAGTTGAAGCAAGCTGTCTAGGTTTAATTTAGCTCTGCCAGTAGTCACTTGGATGACCTTGAACAAATGATTTCACTCCTTAGCTTCCTCCACTTGTAAAATATCAACAAAGATCCTCATAGCTGGAAAACAGCCATGGAAATGTGTCACATCCAATCACCATTAAACCTCACAAGTGGTTCTGGAGGCTCTGCCCTCCCCAGCAGCTCTGTGGAGCATCAGCCACATTCCCACTGCAGCTCAAACCCGCCCAGCAGCTGTGGGCACTCTCAGAGGGCTCTGCAGCTCAGGATGCTGCAAATGCCTGCTCAGGGTGCAGCTGCAGGTGGAAAGGCCATCACATCCAACTGCAGAAAGGCCTGGAAATCAAATCAGCTTCTCAATGCCTTTATGTAAACTTATACAAATTAACAGCACTGCTCCATGGAAGGGTTTGCACTCTTCCTTGTGGTGCTGTTCTGGAACGACAGGAAATTTCTAAGATAACTGGGGGAAATGGTTGCTGGCTATTTGCTTCCACCTGTGGGCTAGAGAGTCCTTTATTGTACAAAGGAACCAGCAGAAAGTCTCCCATGAGAACCAGAACCAGCCAAGATCCCTTGCTATGGATTTATGGACTACAACCTTTAGCCTATTTTCAATTTCTCCCTTCTCTTGCCACCAAGTCTGGTGGAAAATCTTTGATTCAGCTTTTTTTTTTACAGCCCTGCCTTCAGGAGAAGCACAGCCACTAAATGTGGTTGGAAGACTCCAAAGCACCTGTAGGAAAAGAATTAGCCTTTACAGCTCTAACACACCCTGGACTGAGAAAGGAGGGTTGACACAGCTGCATTTACTCTTTCCTTAAGAAGTAAGGAAAATGGTAAAAAATATACAAATTAATATAGATAGGCCATTTCTCCAATTTTCCCCCCCTGTCCCATGCTGTAAAAGTAAAGTAATTGAAATGGAGAATTTCAAGATTTGCAATAGGTCAAACCCTTAGGGCAAGAAATTGAGGAGAGATATCACTGAGATGAAGATTATAAAATGCCAACAACAGCTGGGATTTGGTTCTAGGTAGAATATCCCAAGTGATTCCACGAGCAACAACAACAATATTTGGTTACTAAATCTTAGACTTGAAGTATGAGCCAACATTCCACAGAAATAAAATATATTGTAAACAAACCCCTTTATGCCAGGGGTGAGAGAAATAGTCCCTTTGTGCCAGGGTTTCTGTCTTTGCTGGCAGAAAAAGGTTTACGTTTCCTCTGGCCCTGGCTGAAGAGAGGATACTGAACCAGTAAGATTTCAGTGTGATCCAGACAGAAATCCTTGGATTTCTATTGAACCTGCCACCCCCAAGCAATATATATGTTTTCAATTTAAGGCAAGCAAACACAGGGCAGCTCCAAACACCACAAAAACAGGGGGCAAGCCCCTGGTGCTGCTCTGAGGATCAGAGCCCAGCAGCTGGGAGGTTTCGGGAGGCTCTCAGGGATGCTGTGGTGCAGCTTTTGCTGTTTTGGACAGGGTTTGCTCAGAGCATCACATGCCAGAGCTCTGCCAGCCTCCCCTGCAGCACAGCCCGGGCAGCTGGGGGTGCCCAGCAGCCACTGGCACTCATCTGCAGCCCCTCCCAACCTTTTTTACCTCACCCAAATTACAGTCCATGTTCCATTTCAGCCCACAGAGTCAAATACCCCAGCAGATCAATGCATGGAGATCTGTACTTCCCAAGGTGTGGAACACACCCTTCTGCATGAATTCTCAGAATTCACACTTACCTGGAGCTGGAAGGGGCTCACAAGGGTCAGATATATCATTTTTCAGAATATATTTCAAAATCTGCTACAAAAGAAGTGATTTCTGGGGAAAGGAAAGAGCTACTGCAACAACAAACTGTTTTTTTCTAGAACTACTATGTATCCATGTCACATACTATGAGGAGGAGAAAAAAAAAAGGCAAAAACAAGCAGGCATGAGTAACCTTGTGTAGATCTGCGAGGCTCCTACCTGGAGTGCTCCAGGGGAACTCCTCGTGCTGGGCTTTCAAAGCTTTGCCCCTGCCAACAGATTGTGCTAATTTGGGGTGCACTTATCAAGTATGTGAACCACGTATCTAAAATCACCTTCAAAATACTCAGACTGGCTCCAGTAAGCACAGAAGAATCTCCCAGAAAGAAACCTTATGGGCAAATACAGTTGTTGAATGTATCAGGCAGAGAGCTGTGTACTCCAGAATATGAAATAAATAGATGTTTCTGCAAGGCAGGGACCAGTGTCCATGGATGCATCTCCATGACGTAGCTACAGAGGCTGCCTCGGTCTGGTTGATACAACCACCTTATTTTTTCAAAAAGAAAAAAAAAAAAAAGCCTGGAAAATGTAACAGGTAATGTTATCTTAACAGAAATAACGTATCTGCTATAGCTAAAGGCTTCAATTTTCGTTCCAAGTATTTTATTCAAGTACCATTTTTAAAGCAAATTGGATCAGATCACAGCACTGCACGAGCCCATCCAGACAGCGAGGCTATAAATTCGAGACGCTGAGAATAAAACCCTAAACCCACAATCCATTACCGGATGATCTCAGCGTCACAAAAACAGACTTGTTTGACTCTGCATTATTTTAAGGCGCTGCTAAGACCTTCTGCACTGTAATCAGCACCAGCGGATGAGACGATTGTCAGCTCGGTGTGCACACACACAAGTTAGCGAGGGATGGATAGGAAATGTCCTTCCTCTAGAACACAGCGTCCAGCAGTGACGAACAGGTCTGCAAGAGCCATAACCTCTCCCGCTGGTACCAGCCAGGCACGCTGATGGCCAAGTCCCACGCTTGGAAAATCCCACGTTTTTTATGCTACCAGCGGGAGCCAAACACGCAGCCCAAATAAAAGCGGCCGAGTTAATGAACCCCGCGGCAGGAATTGCCGGAGCCAGGGCAGAGCCAGGGCTGGAGCCCGGCATCCCGAAGGACCTTCACCCCAATGCCACGGGAGCAGCGGGAGCTGCGTGAAAACAAACTGGCTCGTAAACACGGATTTACACACGCAACGCCACAGCCGCACACAGCTCTGCACAGAAATCCCTGCCCAGGGCTCCTAAATCCAGCAGCCCCTACGCACGGGTTCTGCATTTCGCCAGAGAGCACAGGATGTGCTTGCTCAGGGCGCTATATGTGTTTTATTTAGCGTTGTGATGGGAAGCGGATTTCAGGGCTAGTCAGGCACTCCAGGGCTCGCTGGGGTTGTTTTGGGGTTTTTTTTTCGCTCCATCTTCCAGTCCGTGAGGCTGCGGGGCTCTGCCCCAGGTGAGCCGCACCTGCCGGGGAGGGACCGCGGGGAGGACGGGGGAAGCACGGGGGGCACGGAGGATGAAGATGATGATGGTGATGATGATGCAGGGGCATGCGGGGGGCACCTACCAGTCCGTGTGCGGCTCGTCGATGACAAGGAGCAGCTTGAACTTTCTGCCGACAGCCGCGGAGACGGCGGCGGACGCGTCCACCAGCCCCGCCGAGGCCGCCGTCTGCTTCACGGCGTTGGAGAGCGAGCTGAAGAAGCTGCTGCCCGCGGACTGCTGCGGCGGCGGCGGCTGCTGCTGGGGGGGCGCGGGCTGCGGCGGCTGCCGGCGCTCCGCGGCCGGCGAGCCCGAGGCGGGGGCCGCGGAGCCCGCGGAAGGCGGCGGCGGCGGAGGCTGCTGCGGCTCCGGCCGCTGCAGGTCGGTCATGTAGCCATTGGGCAGGTTGGCGATGAAGCTGCTGTCCGAAAGCCTGCGCCGCAGAAAGTTCATCATCTGGCCGGGCGGGGGGCTGCGGCGGGGCCGGGAGAGGGTTTGCGATGCGCCGGCGGCAGCGCTCCGCGCTCTGTGCGCCGCGCTCCGCGCTCCGTGCGCCGCCGCTCTGCGCCCGCCCGCCGGCAGGGGGCGGCCGCGGGGCGGGCGGGGCGCGGGGACGGGCACGGGGACAGGGAGGGGACAGGGATGGATGGATGGGATGGGATAATGGGATGGGATGGGATGGGATGGGATGGGATGGGATGGGATGGGATGGGATGGGATGGGATGGGATGGGATGGGATGGGATGGGATAATGGGATGGGATGGGATGGGATGGGATGGGATGGGATGGGATGGGATGGGATGGGATGGGATGGGATGGGATAATGGGATGGGATGGCATGGCATGGGATGGGATGGCATGGCATGGCATGGCATGGCATGGCATGGCATGGCATGGCATGGCATGGCATGGCATGGCATGGCATGGCATGGCATGGCATGGCATGGCATGGGGATGGGGACAGGCCACAGCCAGCGCGGGGATGGAGCTGCGTTTCCAGCCGGCACAACAAGGGCCGCGTTTACCCCCCGCGACAGCCCCGCCGTACTCAGCGCTGCGGCGGCGGGTGAGGATGGAGAGGGAGCTCTGCTGGGGACAGCTCCGCGCTGGCTCAGGGCACTGCCCCTGGAGGGCATCCCTCGGACAGCTCCAGCATCATCCCGAGCATCCCGGACAGCTCCAGCATCATCCCGAGCATCCCGGACAGCTCCAGCCGAGCATCCCAGAGAGCTCCAGGCTGAGCATCCCAGACAGCTCCAGCCGAGCATCCCGGGCAGCTCCGGCCGAGCATCCAGGACAGCTCCAGCCGAGCATCCCAGACAGCTCCAGCCGAGCATCCCAGACAGCTTCAGCCCAAACATCCCGGGCAGTTCCAGCCGAGCATCCCGGACAGCTCCAGCCGAGCATCCCGGACAGCTCCAGCCGAGCATCCCGGACAGCTCCAGCCGAGCATCCCGGACAGCTCCAGCCGAGCATCCCGGACAGCTCCAGCCGAGCATCCCGGACAGCTCCAGCCGAGCATCCCGGACAGCTCCAGCCGAGCATCCCGGACAGCTCCAGGCTGAGCATCCCGGACAGCTCCAGCCGAGCATCCCGAGCAGTTCCATGCCGAGCAGCCCCCCAGCGTGCCGGGCAGTGACAGCAGCACTGTCCCGAGGCGGTGGCTGTGAGCGGGAACAGGCAGAGCCGCACCTGCATCCCCCCAAATTATCAAACCCTCTGGTAGCACAGACCCACACTGGTTTATGTCAGAAACCGTATGAGGAAGGGGGGTGCTGTGTTTCTTCTAGCAATTTTACCTTGTCATGAGAATTTGGGTGCTTTTCCCACCAGGCTTTCTTTAAAAGTAATTTCAATCTTCTTTCCCTGAGTTTTGGGATAATCACTGTGTGTAACATAAAACACAGAGCTCAGCTCTTACCCTTTTATCCAAGATACACAATCACAACACGTTTGGCTGATGATCTTTACAGGCCACACTGAGTGAAACAGGTGCACCAATAATAAACACAGTAAATCTTAAAGTTAGAGTTCTAATAAAATCCTGGGTACTGACACTTCCACAGTTTGAATTTTACATGTTGGAAGGTGGAACTGTGCACGATTCTTTAATGAGGGTCTCAATTTAGAAATATTTACTATGAATAACAAAATATTTATTATAGAACAGTATATAGTATATAGTATACAGTAAATATTTAATATTTACTATAGAATAGCAAAACCAAATAAAACACCAGGACTAATAGGTGATGATTGTAATTTAAACACCATGGACATACTGGGGGACAAATTATATATACAGATAAATTATATTTTAATATTTGTTAAATTCCTGTTAAATTCCAGATTGAGGGGTGATTATATAATCACCTCTCTTTGAACACACTTCTTCCTGTGCAGACTCAGGCCCTACTTGTTGTCCTGAGAGCATTTCTGGGTGATTTGGCTCACTCAGAGCCAAATTCCCCATGGCAGGATGAGAGTTCCATTTTCCTGGGCATGATAACAGATTTTCCAGGTTCCTTCTGCAGGGCTGAAAGGCACCTGCAGTGCCAGCCGAGCTCTTTGTGTGGCCACCAGATGCCCATGGCAACCAGAAATGATGGGAGCAGTCTGAGTGTCACCAGAAGATTAAACAGAGTGGCTATCCTGCTTTGATGGCAGTGACACAAGATCTGGCCCTGTTTGCATATTTCTGTGGAAAACTTGTTTTCCTATTGATGAAATCTGATTTCTGCCCAGGGCATTTCCTTGCACAGTCTCAACATTTGCTTGCAGGTTTGAAGGGCTGATTCTGGTTGAAACTATGGCTGTCAGACTCTCCAAAACAGCTGCCCACGATGGTTTCTCTCACTCTTGGATGTTTGGGTGAGTAGCAGGAGCCCTGTTCACCTGCCCTGTGCACTCTGAAGATGTCATGGCTATATAAAATAAATATATTTCCCACTTTACACACTTTATTCACTTTGAATCTACTGGCCCTTCTCTATGAGCAACTTCTCAGGGGATTTTTGTGGAGTTTAATTGCTGGTTGATTTTTAGTTCTCTTTTTATGTTGTCACCGCTATGCTGACAAAAATATCTTAAAACATCCATCATTCTCAAATGCCAGAGTCAGAGGGGTTTTAAAACACCTTGTAGAGTATTGTAACAGCCTAAAATCCAAATCTGCACCAAGGCAACTGGCAACTGAACTTGGTGGAAGTGTCAAAAACTTGGTTTTTAATGCAGAACAACCAAAATGCAGAGCTCTCTGTGAAGCTCTGTTGTTACTGGGAGGGAAAACTTTGTTGAAAGAGTACCAGTGGATACAGGGAGCTTGATGAATTTAATAGCACATAAACATGTGCCTGAAAAAGAAGAAATGGCATTTTTGGGGTCCAAACTACTGTTTGTGATGCTTGAACCCTTCAAGCACATGTGTGAAGTAGTTCAACATGATTGTGTCTAACAGTGTCACCCTGATTCTTAATATTTTCTAAAGCCTTCTGAGTTTACATTCTATTAGAAAACTTTCTCACACAATTTTCTATAAACAACATATTGTTTTGCATTCCTTCATAGGTGTTGAAAAATTTAATATACTAGTAGTTTGTCCAATGTCTTTGGAGAGGTAGCACATTCACTCGCCAATCCACTGTCACCTTTAGAAAAGTATAAAAGTTAGAATCAGAAAATAAACCTTCTTCTTTACCTTGCAAATAGCAATAGCTCACGTTGTCCTTTCATGTATCCTATAACAACACACAGGAAGTGAGAATACTGAATTGCTGGCATGTTAAATGACAGGGAGGCTCAATAGCAAAGGAGAGAACACAACTGCAATCTGAAATCCAGCTTTGTTTCCTACCACTGAAATCAGAATGCTGAATATTTGCGATTAATTGTGGTGATAAACCAAGAGGAGAAGAAGAGAAGGAAGGGATGAAGCATCCTAAGGTGCACTCCTTCAGTGAGTTTCATTAGACACCTCAGTGAATTCTCCTGCTGTTACAATGGCCCTGAAGCACATCCATGTCAGCTTTCTACTTCTGCTCTCCCTGGCTCTTGCTCAGCCAGGGTGGCAGAGGTGCAGCTGAGCCCTCTGAAGGTGTGACAGAAACAGGCCCAAAGGACACAGAGCAGCCCCATCCACCCTGCCCAACCCAGGCTCTCCTCTTTGATTGATGAACATCATCAGGGAACACAATTACCCACAATTAGGCTTTTGTCAGGTGGTCATTTCCTGGATGATGGTCGTGTTCCTGGAGGAGCAGCAACAAAACTTGTACAGCATTAGACATCCCTTGTGCTCAGCAGTCCATTAAATCTCATCTGGAAACCCCAGGACAGATTATTTCATAAATCATCCTTCATTATTGACCAGACTTTTACCCCTGCAAGCTTTGAACAGGGATGAATTCCTGCTGCAGGAGAGGGGTTTGTACTCTCATGAATAATTCCTGCTGAGATGTGAGAGGCAGCTCCAAACAAATTCTGTGTGTGACTTGAGAACAACCTGCAACAGAAGAGAGCAGGTGACAGCCCACATGAGTGACAGGTCAGATAAATCATTACAGGTAAATAAAAATTTAAAAAATTACAGGTAAATAAAATGCTCTCTCTTCCAAAACCTGAAGCTGTGATAGCAGCAACATTTATCTTCCCATTTCCTACTAAGAAATTATTGGATTTTTTGGTTCAGTATTTTCTGTACTTTAATCATCATTAACATTTTTAAAAATTTTATTTTATTTTTGAAATACCTTGATACAAATATGAAGGAACTTCAGGCAATTTTTAGCATGATTTAAAGCTCAGATACTGCTGATACTACTCTGTACTATTCAGATACTATTCTGTAAAGGCTGAAGGCAGTCTTGCAAGTGTTTCAGAACCCAAGCCACAGAAGTTGAAATAATTAATTTTAAATACAATTTCTTTTTAAAAATTACCACCATTACACATATGGACTGACAAACTGGATAGATAACGAAGACGTGTGTGCCACTCATAAATTTGTGTGACAGTAAATTTATATTAAAATATATATAAATTGTGTTTACTGGCATTGTGTATCTGGAGGTTTGCAGCAATAAATCTGCTCTGCCCACATCACCTGCTCTATTTCTTGGTTTTGCACTCTTTTGGGTTTGAGACCACAGCTCTTATTTTCCTCTCAGAAACAGCTGATTTATTTCTTCTCCTCTCACTGAGCCGTTCTTCCCCCATGCTCTGCATTACAGAAAAATCAGCCAATGAACTGGTGGAGAAAGCCCAGGCAGTGAGGCACGCTGAGCATTTTGCAGAGCAGTAAATCCACTTCTTTTTGAACCAACTGTTTGCAAACTGCAGGTACCACAGAGGGAGAATCCCCCCAACAAAACTTGGCCATTTCTCAGCCTGGAGGAGAGGCAGCATCATGAAAAGCAACAAAGAGCAGATGTTGTGAGGCACAAAAATAAACTGCACATGAATGTAACCCTGGGGTGTGACCAAGGCAGCAGAGTAAACAGATTTCTGACAAGCAGGAAAAGATCCATTCCTCATAGGCTCTAGTTAATGAATTGCTGTTGTTGTATTTAGGGCTTCACTTGGATATCTGAAGAATAAAAATAAG